GACGCGTCAATGCCTGCTGTGTAGCTGCCGGAATTTATGTGTGAGCAAGATCGGCATGGTTTGACCTAAACATGAAACAGAACAGACAGGAGAAGCAAAAGACCTCGCATACACACGCACTAGAGATTTCCTTATATGAACCCCCCCCCACAAAATTGTTATTTGGATTAGGACTGCCTTTGTGGCGCTCGAAAGAGGACTGAGGTGGTTTGGGCACATTCGCCGTCGTGGGCCTTACGAGCTTAGTCATAATGGCTTCGATCCGACGCCAGGGACAACCTTGAGGCGTTGAAGAGGAGATCAACTTAAGACCCGGTTCGACACAATTCGTCAAGACATGGAGGCTGTTTTAGGATCTTCGGTATTCGGTCTCCATTGCTGGAGAAGATAATGGGTTAAGTTCTCCAGATCTGCTGCCGCATATCGTCACGCATGGAGAACGACCATCCGTGACATCATCCAGGTCGGTATAATTACAGCCGTATCAAATACGACCGTCGCGAACGATGACGTGCACCGTGCCCCACGGAGTAGCCGCAACACCCGTGACGTGCGCAGCATCTACCTCATGAACACCCCTTACCGTCCCCTCCTTCCCCATCCACAATTCTGCGATCACTCCGCCCGCGTCGCTCGAGTTACTCCGTCAGTTGCCAGGCTTATATGCGTGTTGGCCCAGTATCGTTTTTACTCTCCGCCTTCCCTCTCCAATCGACTGCAGGATTCTACCAGCATTGGGGACAATGAAAGTATATGCAAACTTATGTAGTTTCTCATTACGTGTGTGCCAGGTTGGGACGGTTTGCTGAGCAGTGTCACAGGAAAAAAATGTGTCATCAGCGACCGTTACATGTTGGAATCGTTGGCTAATACTTCCTCGGAAGAGTACCAGTTGCATAAACGAGGTACCGAACACTTGGCATAATCCGAAATGCTCCTTTTTAAAAGGCAAGCTGTGAGAAACGCACGCAAGTTGAGATGGTTCGCGGCGACTTTTGGAAGTCCATCTGCCACAGAGCTATCGAAATCACGCCTGTCGGTGGCGTCAATCAGTTAAACTTGCTTCGTTTCTGAGCTACCAATAGTCGCCGTATATACCCCAGCCATGCTGACCGTTTGGGTGGTTAAAGTGATAGACTACGAAGAGACTGACGTACTACAAATATACAGTTGTCAAGGTAATAGTCTTATAACTAAAAGCCTAACAGCTGGTTATGTCTCAATTGGATTATCAGCGAGAACCTAGGTACTTTAAATTAAAATCATACTTATTAAGCCTTGCAGAAAAAGCTTGCAGAAAAATTAATGACTTGTATGGGGCACGCGTAGACGTGGATTCAGCCTCGCCAAAGGGTACGCGTTCTTCCCGGTTGTTTTAATGTGTTTCGTTTTCTCAAATACGGTAGCCGGGTCAATGGCGATAAAATTTTCTCCTTTGCCAAAGTTCAATTCACGCGGAATTGGCAGCGGTCCTTTCTGTCGTTTGCTACGCATGCCAAATTTTCAACAATAGCAGCAGCAGCAGTAGGAGTCGTCAATTCTCCCTCCTCTATAGCAAAATGAGCAGTAGATCGAAAATGTCCTTAGACTGTGGCCGACAGATACTACAAGAGGACACAGAGCAGCTGCACTCATGGAGCAAGAGTTGGTGCATGAATTTAAATCCAAAAAATCAGTAGTAATCGACATGTTGTGAAAACTACGCCAAATAAATGCACTCTCACAACAATATGTCTCGAGCGACTATTTACTTGAAACCATGAGTGTGCAAAGAGGCCTTGGCGTACTTATTAAACACGACTTAAGCGTCAAAGTAGCAGCGAGAGCAATGTCGACTATGAGCGCCATACGAAGAACATGTGTTAACTTTAATGCAGATGACTTCGGAAAAGTATATAGAGCATTTGTGCGGCCGCACCTGGAATATGCGGTAGAGGCTTAACGGCCTTGGTTTCGGGAAGACATAGGGTTTCTTGTTGTCCAATGACGTGCTACGAAGGCTGTTCATGAACTTAAACAGTTGACACACGAGCAGCGCCTGACTGCCTTGAATGTCTTTCCTTTCCACTAGACACAAAGCAGAGGTGATCTTATAGCAAAGTTTCAGCTATTAAACTGAACTGATCTGAATTTGAAGTATGAGGATCTTTTTAAATGGCACCAAGAAGGAATCTCAGAGGATATGATCGCCAATTGAAAAAGGAACCGTATCGCACAAAGTAAAACTCTTCCTCCTTCTCTCGAAGAGTCATTCCACAGTGGAACTCTTTGATGACGTGTGTTATTTGTGTTCAAGTGATGCCTGGACAATCACCTAGTAAAAATCAACACAAACTGTAACACGCTTATCTGACAGATTACAGACATGACTAAAAATATACTGCATTGATTTTAGTAAACCGTTTATTTACATCAAAGTTGGCTCGGATGAAAGCTTCGTAGTGCAAATGCAGTGAACTTTGTCAACTTTTCTATTTCGCTAACGCCCACCTTTTTAACCATCTATATTTCCTTATGATTTTTATGCATTTTTGCACAACAAAGCGACATGAAACAACTCTTGCATGTTCATGACTTTTTATGCATTCTTGTACGGTTACAAGTGAGGTTTTACGGGGTTCTTTCGTTTACTCTAAATATACTGACTGACATCCAAAACTGCTGTTGTCAGAGCTGCCTGAGACAGCAACTAAGGGTTCTAGGCACAACTTCTGCCCTTCACAAGCAACCAAAATACGATCTGATGAATATGGTGATGTGAGT